ATTGCACTTTTTGTTTCGGTGGCTTGATTGCACTTTAGCGTTACGTTCAGTGGCCAATTTGGCCCTTATTCCTTTTTTTTATTGCTAGTGTGTCACGTGCAATTGGGTTACTGGTGGTAGCATAGATGGATTCATCGTGCATGAGACTGTGGTGAAGGAAGCTTTAGATTTTCCTTGTTGTGTATAGGATGAGATCTTAGTTTTACTATTAACTCTTTATCTTACAAGCACCTATTGATATTTGGTAGTGGTAGTTTTTCCCCTACATGTTTCATGCATTGTGAGATGTGTGTCGTAGGTTATTATCATGTGAAAGTATTGAACAAAATATTAATATTTATTATATTTGTATACAATACTTATGTATATATATATATATATATATATATATATATATATATATATATATATATATATAAACATATTTTGTATTATAACTTTGATATTTAATTACAAGATAATGTAAAAAGAAGACAATGGATAATGTAGTGAATATAATAAATTAATAAATTTGAAGGCAATGAATCTTTGAATTGTAGAAAATAAATATAATATAATTAATGAAATTATATATCTTTTTAAATTTTGTATAATGAATAATTTTTTTAAATAAAGGCATTATAAACATCTAATTCTAAATTAATTAAATGCATATGTATTATTTTTTGTTATAGCTACTACATTATTTAATTTAATAAGAGTAATAAAGTGGTGTACATACTTTTCATCAACAATAATGAAATCATTGATTTTTTTTTTTAATTTACATTCGTTGTTGAGACAAATTGTTTTGAAAGTTTGTCAATGACAATTGTTACAATTCCTGTCAATAAAGGATGATAATATATATTCAAAATATATAGTTACAATAGATATTGTTATAATGATATAGTAAAAATTAACTTATAAATTTCTTTAGAAGTTTTCATGCATTGATAAAATTCTGATATATAAACTTGTTCAATTGGAGCTAGTGGAATGTCAACATTGTCAATTCGTTAAAAAAAATGGTCCTACCGTTTTCGAGTCCATGTGCAATTGTATTTATGATCAACAAATTTGTTGTTAGGTCGCGTAGGCCTGATAATGATGTAAGAACAATTTTGTTCAATAAAAAAATAATAGTATAATATTTGTAAAGTAATATACAATTGTACAATTATAAAATACATACAAAATATATTAATACCATAACGACCTAAATCATACCAATAATGCAAAAGTATAATTGAAATATTAAGTTTTGTTGTGATCTAAATAATCAACAGAAGATTAATTAAACGAAAAAAAAAAAAAAAAAAAACTTAACCTAACTTTGTTTTTCTTTTTTAATGCATAAAAATCAAATGATTTTTAAAGTGATTGATTTATAATCTTTGATGCTTAACTTTGAATGTTATGTATTTGGCCGGACTAATTATTTAAACAAAGTTTATGTTAAATTTTATATTATATATTTTTAAAATATATTTTAACATATTCGTAGTATATGTTTAACAATTATGCCAACTCTAATTGGGATGAGATTCGAACCTAAGACCTTTCTTATAGAAATTAATAAGTTAAAAATAATAAATAGTTAATAGAATATTTCGTTACTAAATTTAGTATACTAACGGAATTTAGGTTATTTAAGGAAAGAAAATAATATAATAGAGGATAAATAAGGAAAATCATTAAAAATATTAAAATCAAAATAATATGAACCATTCATTTTAAAAAACAATACTACAGATATTTTTTTTTTTGTTTCAGTTAAGGGCCTAACATTATTGGCTCTTATTAAAATTGTAGAAATAATAATTTAGTAGCTACAAAAAAAAAATTGCACTTCTTTTTTTTTTAGAATTATGTGTCTACAATGCGTTTATTCAAAAAAAAAAAATTATTCATTATCAATAAATTAAATAAGAGAAATAATTTCATTAGTTTTATTGTCTTTATTTTTCTCCAATATAAAAATTCTTTTCATTCAAATTCATCAATTGATTATATTCGCTACATTGTCCCTACAATGTCTTTATTCAAAAAAATTATTCATTATCAATAAATTAATTAAGAGAAATAATTTCATTAGTTATATTGTCTTTATTTTTCTCCAAATTGTAAAAATTCTTTACATTCAAATTCATTAATTGATTACATTCACTACATTGTCTATTATTGTTTTTTGTGCACTATTTTTAATTAAATATCAAAGTTATAATACAAAATAATGATATATATTTATTTACCAAGTATTTTATTAATACCATGAAAAAATTAAAATATATATATAATTAAGCCAATCATATTAACTACTTGAGGGATTTGTTGACAAAGAGAGTATTTAAATCGCACAACAAATTGAAGTCAGAAACTATCTCGCAATGTCCTTGTTTGACAATCAGCAACTAGCGGTTAGCGTTAGCGAATTATATTAGCGGATTTGACCAGCGAATTATATCAACGGTTGATAAAAAGATATTTGAAAAAATTAGTTGTTTAGATTAACATGTAAAATGATATTAAAGAGCCTCCCTGTGACCACCGGAACGGTAAGGAAGAAGGGTCAGACTCAGCCCTTATTCCGTAAGCAAAAAGTGAACTTTAGGTAAGTAAGTAGTACCCACCAGCCTGCAGATCTAAATCTAGCCGGAGCTGCTACAATTGCTTCAAACCCTAGTTTTAAGCAGCGCAGCACCAGAAAGAGTCAAAGGTACCACACGAACCATCTTTCTGAACGGACTCCTTTGGTTGCGCTATTTCAGCATTTATCTTGAATCGAGATCTTATGGCTCAATCCCAGAGCAATCCCATTTTTCACCTCACATCCCGTTTGTTTTAGCAACTTCTCAAAAGATCTAGAGGAGTGGCTTTCGAAAGAGGAGGACAAACCCAATGAATAGTCGAACAGGGTAATAATAATAATAATAATAATAATAATAATAATAATAATAATAATTGTTTTTTTATAATAATAATAATAATAATTTAATAAAAGAAACAAAATTAAAAAAAAAAAAAACATATAGGGAGCCGAACGTTCGGTTCCTCTTAGTTTTGTCATTTTTCCTACATCGATGAGAAAAGTAGCATGGAAACCTTGAGGCTCCTATAATTCCTATAAAAGGGACCTTAAGGCTCCAATTTAAAAATAAGCTTGCCCATCCATTGATGGGCAAGCAAGAGAGTCAACGAAACTGGCTCTTGTTATTGAAGGAGTTGAAATGGCTCTACAGTTTTAATTTAATTTTTTTTTTTTTAAATATAGAGGTGTTTTGGGGAAATCATTCTAAAAAACGCTATGTGAAAAATATTGTAAATTGCAATGTTTGTATTTTTAGTGACATAAGTAGGTGGCCCCGAGATTGTCACACCATAGGGTGGGTGGTACGCCGGAGTGGAGGCCCAGCTCACGTAGAAGAGAGGCAATCCACGTGACTTCTGCAGCAACATCGGCGAGACCCTTGTATTCTGCCTCTGTTGACGAGCGCGCCACCGTCCGTTGCTTGTGCGAGACCCAAGAGACCAGGTTGGTCCCTAGAAACACTGCATACCCGCTGGTGGACTTGCGATCTATAGGACAACCCGCCCAGTCTGAATCTGAGTAGGCGTGAATATCTGCTGAGACCGAGGTAGTCAGGCGAAGACCATGTGTAGCCGTACCCTTGACATACCGGAGGACACGTTTCAGAAGGGCCCAATGGTCAGCAGTTGATGTATGCATGAATTGACACAGGCGATTGACAGCGTAGGAGAGATCCGGACGTGTTATTGTCAGGTACTGGAGCGCTCCAACTAGGCGGCGATACTGAGTGGGGTTGTCAAAGTCCTCTGTGGACGGTGTTACAGGCTGTGTAAGAGCAGCTGGAGTAGCCAGAGGCTTGCAGTCAGTCATGCCTGCGCGTTTCAGGAGATCACTCATATAACGCCGTTGAGACAGCAGAAGCCCGCCTTCTATCGGAATGGTCTCAATGCCCAAAAAGAAGCTTGGTACGTCGAGATCTCGGATCTTGAACGTGGTACTCAAGCGGTGTAACACTGTGTTGATGAGAGCAGCGTCATCGCCCATAAGGATGATATCATCCACGTAGACAAGTAAGAAGACCCGTGACGTCGCAGTGGTGTAGTGGAACAGAGATACGTCTGTCTTTGACGACTTGAATCCTGTAGAGATTAGAAAATCATACAGACGCTTGAACCAGGCTCGTGGTGCCTGTTTCAAGCCATACAGAGATCGCCGCAGGTGGCACACATGATCCGGATGTAGAGGATCTTCATAGCCCGGTAGCTGCCGCATGTACACGGTTTCAGCCAAGCGCTCATTTAAAAAGGCGTTATGGACGTCGAGTTGGCGGAGGGTCCAGTTGCGTGAAACGGCGCAGGACAGAAGCAAGCGTACTGTAGTCGGTTTGACCACAGGACTGTATGTATCAAAAAAGTCTTCTCCGGCGACTTGATTGAAACCTTTGGCTACCAAGCGCGCCTTGTAGCGTTCTATGGTGCCGTCTGCCTTGCGTTTGGTGCGATACACCCACTTACACCCGATTACATTCATGTCTGGTCGAGCCCGGACAAGTTGCCAGGTCTCGTTGTGAATCAGGGCGTTGAACTCTTGGTCCATTGCCTCTCGCCATTGTGAGTGCCCCACGGCCTGCGAATAGCAAGTTGGATCCACAGACGCCGTGAGGGCTTGAAACTGTTCATCTGCACCCCTTCTCATACGCCGTAGCCGCATGACATGGCCATGCTCTTGCGGTTGCTGTGGTTGTTGTGGTTGCGGGGGGTTCTTCCTTGGGCGACCACGGCCGCGCTTGGGTGCAGCTGGTGGTGCCTCAATGGCTAAGGGAGGATGATCAACATCCAAGGGTGCAGCTGGCGGTGTGGAAGGTCCAGCTTGTGACACAATAGGACCAGAAGCCCATGGTATATTGGCTTGGTGCACAACTTCTGGATTACCTGTACTTGTGGCAAAAGGAAATATATTTTCATCAAAACGGACATGCCTACAGATAAAGGTTTTTCCTGTGCTGAGGTCCATGCATCTGTAACCTCTAAAGGACGGGGGGTATCCTAGGAAGACACATGGGGTTGACCGAAACTCAATTTTGTGTTTGTTGTATGGGCGTAGGTAGGGAAAGCAACGACACCCATAGACTCTTAGGAAAGTGTATGAAGGTGTGGTTTTGTATAGTCGGTAGTGAGGGCTTTCAAACTTGAGTGCGGAGCATGGTAGCCGATTGATTAGATAAGTGGCTGTTTCAAAGGCTGAGTCCCAGTGTTTAGTAGGAACAGACCCTTCGGCTAATAAAGCGAGACCCGTCTCGACAATGTGCCGATTGCGACGTTCTACGCGCCCATTTTGCTCGTGGGTATAGGCACACGATTGGCGATGTACTATACCCAACGACTCAAAGACATTGTGCAGACGGCGATATTCACCGCCTAAATCTGACTGTATTGCCTTGATAGAACATGAGAACTGACGTTCTACCATGACACGAAAAGAATGAAAAACAGTATAAATATCTGATTTTAGCCGAAGTGGGTAAAACCAGCAGAATCGTGAATAATCATCCACGAATAAAACGAAATACTTGAAGCCGTTCACCGAAATAACAGGTGACGGCCCCCAAATGTCCGTGTATACAAGGTCCAGTACATTATTTGAAATAAAAGAAACCCTATCTAATGGGAATCGGGAAGATTTGCCGAGTTGGCAAGCGGAACATAATTCAGACGAACTGGAACGACTTGTGGTGACTGGACATTGTGGTAGTATTTTCTGGAGCACTTTTGAGTGTGGATGGCCCAACCGCCGATGCCAAACATTGGGAGATGCCCGGGAACTCAGGAAAGCAACGTGAGACCGCGGAATTGACAGTTTGTACAGGCCATCCGTACTGGGACCCTTAAGAAGTACTTCCTTGGTAATTGAATCCTTAACAACAAAATAAGTATTGTGAAATTCAAAGAACACTGCATTATCACTTGTAAAACGATGAACAGAAAGAAGGGGAACAGACAGTTTCGGGACATGCAGAATATTTGAGAGTTTTAAATTTTTAGAAACCGACGGAATAGATGCATGTCCAACAGAGGAAATTCCCAAACCTGTACCGTTTCCAACCCGAAGGACATCGCCTCCGGTGTACTCCTCGGCCTGGCCGATCATCCTGGAATCCGGTGTGGCGTGTGCAGTTGCACCGGTGTCCGGGAACCACGTCTCCGACGCAGAACCTGCCCCGTCGTCTCCAGTAGTCGCAACGTGGGCCTGCGGTGGTGCCGGCGGCTGAGTGTTGTATCTCTTGGAGCAATACACGGCGGTATGCCCATGACACCTGCATATTTGACAACGAGGGGAACCACCACCACCGCCGCGATTCTGCCCCCGGCCGCCGCGTCCTCTGTTCTGCCCGCGGCCGCGATGCTGCCCACGGCCACCGCCATTGCTGTTCTGCCGGCGGTTCTGGCCCTGCCCGGCATACATGGCGACTGGAGAGGAGTTCTGATGCTGATCGACCGGGAGGAACTCATCTGCGTAGATGAACTCCTGCGTCTGGAGGAAGTCCGCGAGTTGAGGGATGGTCACCGGCGATCCCGAAACCGTGAGAGACGCCGCCACCGCTCTGAATTCCGGCCTCAATCCCCTGAACACATATAAATTTTGTTCATCGAGGGACATAGGCCTACCTGCTTGCGAAAGTTGTTCGACGAGAAGCTGCGCACGACCCAAGTACTCGGCCGCCGAACTGTCTCCTTGTCGGAGAGATTGGAATTGACCGAGAAGGTTTAGACACCGGGCACGCGTCGATGAGCCAAGCGCGGCAGTGATGGACAGCCACACGTCCCTGGAAGTCGCACGGCCAACCGCCAAATGCATGCATTCATCCGAGAGAGAGGAGACGAGGAGACTGAGGATCGATTGATCCTGTTGTGTCCATTGTGCGTGAGCCGGATTCGGGAGCGGTGATGGAGACGTGCTGCCGGAGCCATCACCGGAGGGGGCCGCTGCAATGGTGGCGGGTGGACATGGAATGTCACCCTCAACGTAACTGATGAGCCCTTGCCCACGTAGGAACGGTATGATTTGTGTGCGCCAAAACAAAAAATTTCGGTTTGTAAGTTTTAGGGAGATGAAGTGGTGAGCGGATGTTAAGTGGTTTGTGGTGATCGGGGAGGGAAGATTGGCAGCACTGTTCGTACGTTCTGATGAATGTGTCGACATGGCTTTAGGATCGGTAAGAATTAGGCTGATACCAGATGAAGTTACGAGGAAAGAATTGATTGATTGAAACTGTAAAACCAAAAGTCCTAAAACAAGAGAACTCTAAAGAGCTTCCTAAACTCTAGGCTATGTACAAGCAAGACTCAGCACAACCACATAATAATATTAAGACTCTAACACTTGGAACAAATTGTTGCTTCAAACTGTTGAATAACCAAACACTTTCTTTAGCATTTTGATCTTTGGGTTACATCATATTTACCAATCGTCCAATATCTTTGGGTTACATTATAATTAAAAAATTTAAATTTTTACTACTTCATCTAAATTCCTTAAATTAAGAATTTCTTTATCCATAATAATTTATTCAACAATAATGGTTGAACTAAATAAACACTGAGTAAAACACCTAAAGACTGGTGCCGTTGATTCATTCATTGATCTTGTATATATGTGCATTCATTAAATATATTAGAACCATTTGCAACAAAAATACTTGATTACTATTTTAAAGAAAAAATTAGTAACAATTATAATGAATCTCTTATATTACATTGTATTCATATATTATGAGTTACATATTTAAATAAATAAATTTGACATTTAATTACTTATGTATGAACTTTTCATATATATTCTTCCGTTGATATACTTTCAAATATTTATTTAATTATAAACATTGAGCATTAACTCATTCGCGCAATGTGCGTGTAAAACTAGTATATATATAAAGTTTGTAGATATAATATAATATAATAATAATATAGATATTATATAGTAATATACTTAGTAGATATTAGATTATTTTAAAATATTATGACTTGTAATTGTTTTGTATAAGATTAATCTTAAAGACTTGTGTATATAATGAAAAGAGCAAATATCAATTTTGGTCCCACGAGTATTAGCAAAATGACAGTTTTGGTCCATATGTTTAATTTTCACCAATTTTCATCCATAGCTATTGTTTTAGTACTAATTTTCATCCATGACTATTATTTTAGTACCAAAATTCATCACGTTGGTCACTCATTCATTTAAAACATGCTAAAATTTGAAAATTTTAAAGGTATTTTCGTCATTTTCAAATTAAGATCTCAATTTGAGCATGGATAAAAGAATTTAAGCCCTAAGATCGATCTTAATTCGCAGTTCTCTTCCTCAAATTAAGGTAGTATGAGGATGAGAACTGTGAATTGGGATCGATCTTAGCTCTTAATCTCTTTATTCATGCTCAAATTGAGATCTTAAGTCGAAAAGGACGAAAATACCTATAAAATTTTTATATTTCGGTATGTCTTAAACGAATGAGTGACCGATGTGATGAATTTTGGTACTAAAACAATAGTCGTGAATGAAAATTGGTACTAAAACAATAGTCATGAATGAAAATTGATAGAAATGAAACATATGGATCAAAACTGTCATTTTGTTAATACTTGTGGGACCAAAATTGATATTTGCTTATAATGAAAATTGAGCTTGTTTAGGGTATAAACTTGGGAATACCTGTATAACCATCGAAGGCTGTTGAAGTGACTAATTCTCGAAAATTAGGAGGCGTTGAAAACAAAGTGGTGGAGAATATAATTCAAATCTATACTTTGGCTACTTTTTGTTTTTTGAAAACTACTTTGGCTACTTTAATATGGACTGGTTTAGGTTTATGGTTTTCTGCCTCTAATGACTATTTCTAATAGGGGTGGGCACTTCGGTTCGGTTTATTCGAACCGAACCAAATCGAACCAAACTAGTAATAGAAAATTGAACGGTTCGGGATTTTGTAACCCGAACGGTTTAATACCGAAACCGAACGGTTTGACAAAAAACGAACCGAATCGAATGTTATATAATTTTTTTAATAAATAATAATAATAATAATAACAATAATAACAATAATAACAATAATAACAATAATAACAATAATAATGATGATGATGATGATGATGATGATGATGATGATATGATGATGATGATAGATGATGATGATGATGATGATGATGATGATATGATGATGATGATGATGATGATGATGATGATGATGATGATGATGATGATGATGATGATGATATGATGATGATGATGATGATGATGATGATGATGATGATGATGATGATGATGATGATGATGATGATTGATGATGATGATGATGATGGATGATGATGATGATGATGATGATGATGATGATGATGATGATGATGATGATGATGATGATGATGATGATGATGATGATGATGATGAATGATGATGATGATGATGATGATGATGAATGATGATGATGATGATGATGAATGATGATGAATGATGATGATGATGATGATGATGATGATGATGATGATGAGATGATGATGATGATGATGATGATGATGATGATGATGATATGATGATGATGATGATGATGATGATGATTGATGATGATGATGATGATGATGATGATGATGATGATGAATGATGATGATGATGATGATGATGATGATGATGATGATGATGATGATGATGATGATGATGATATGATGATGATGATGATGATGATGATGATGATGATGATGATGATGATGATGATGATGATGATGATGATGATGATGATGATGATGATATGATGATGATGATGATGATGATGATGATGATGATGATGATGATGATGATGATGATGATGATGATGATGATGATGATGATGATGATGATGATGATGATGATGATGATGATGATGATGATGATGATGATGATGATGATGATGATGATGATGATGATGATGATGATGATTTGATGATATTTTTTTTTTTATGATGATGATGATGATGATGATGATGATGATGATGATGATTGATGATGATGATGATTGATGATGATGATGATGATGATGATGATGATGATTGATGATGATGATGATGATGATGATGATGATGATGATGATGATGATGATGATTGATGATGATGATTTTTTTTTTTTTTTTTTTTTTTTTTTTTTTTTTTTTTTTTGATGATGATGATGATGATGATGATGATGATGATGATGATGATGATGATGATGATGATGATATGATGATGATTGATTGATGATGATGATGATGATGATGATGATGATGATGATGATGATGTAAATCCAAGTTCCTTGATACCCGCTCCCCGTTCAGTTCTCATTCTTACTAGTACCGAACTTTACATTTTTTATTTGATTTCTTTATAGCTTGTTTTCTACATTGCACTTTTGTTGTTTGTCGCAATTGTTCTTTACCTCGCAATTATATATAACTTGAGTTATATTTACAATATTCAGTATTTTCCTTAGTTTCATGTTTTTCTATAAATTTAATGTGCTTTACAGTCATTCTAATTTTGATTTCCAGTGCACTATAATTATTTTATAGTACTGGAATATATTTCGAGTGCACTAGCAATGATAGATTGTCCAAAAATTAACTATATAGTAATTGACACTAGTTCTGTTAATATCAACTATACAGATAGATGATTATTCATAAAAATATTCGAACTGAACCAACTGAAGAGTCGGTTGTGCAAAAACGTTAACTGATGTTTGGTAATTAGTACTTAGTATTGTGTTTGAACTTTGGATTGCTATTTTGTTATATAATGTTTAGAGTTTGAATTTGGATTATGTGAATATGTATTGTTTGGTAATATGTTCGAAAAATTAGGAAATGTTGAAATTTGGGGATCTTAAATTGAACTGAAACCGAACCGTTTCAAACCGAACCGAAACTGAACCGAACCCTAATGTTAAACCGAATGGTTTAACTTTTTTAAAACCGAGAAACCGAAACAAAAAAAAAAAAAAAACGAACCGAAACCCGAAGCGCCCACCCCTAATTTCTAACATATAACTAGTTTTACTGCGTATGTATTTGCAACAACTCCCTTACATATAACTATTTGGCAAATTATTGTGTGGATTACGGTCCAAAATATCGTCGTAAATATTATAAGTAAAAATAATATACATTACGTGTTAGAATAATTTACATTACGTGTTAGAATAATGTACATTACGTGTTTAGAATAATAAAACATCTGGGATAAGTTTTCAAAAAAAAAAAAAAAAAAAAAAAAACATCTGGGATAACTTAATGTACATTATGTTTTAGAGTTTTTTGCACTTTTAGTCCTACGACTATAGTGGCACTATCAAGATTGATCCGTGACTTTCAAACGTTGCAATTTCGGTTCACGACTATTGTTTTTGTTGCAAAAATGGTCCTTCTGGCCAATTTTTCGTCAATTTTTAATCGGAGAAACAAATTCTCATTTTAAGCAAGGATAAAATAGACATTTGCATTGCCCTTGCAATCTCGGATCACTGTTAGCCTCTTATTCTGATCCGCTGTCTTGGGATGAAGATGATCCCTACGTCTGCCTCTTCGAACAGGGAGAAACCTCACCAACGATTCCCGTCGGAGTGTTGCCGTTTCCTGATCGATCACTGTTCAAGTGTGAATATCCGAGAAGCTCTCGTCGAAAAAGCTGACGAAGCAATCGATTTTGACTCTCTCGTCTTCTCACTTCTATCCCGAAAAATTCGCAACCGCCTCTGCTCCAGTGGAATTTTCTGTCGTACGACTCTATAACGAGTTAACGACGGAGGACAACGTCGTTTTGTTTGTGAAGGGCGTCAACAACTGTTAAGGTATCAACCGGAACCCAACGGAATTCCGTTGTGTTTTCTTCCCGGGAGATGAAACAATCAACGCCGTCAAAATGGACGTCACTAGCTCAATACAAGAGGTCTTTCGCTATAACTGTCCGGAATTCCCCACTAAAAAACAGCTTATCGTCTCCCTGAAAATCGTGGGACCCAATCCAATCATCATTCCGACCATGGCATTTTACAACTCGCCGCTCCACCTAGCTAAACCGGGGAACCAGAAATCCAAGCTCTGCGCCGCCACCATCGTCATCCCAAGACAGCGGATCGGAGTAAGAGTTCAACAGTGGTCTGAGATTACAATAGCAATGTAAATGCCTATTTTATCCCTACTTAAAATGGAGAATTTTTTCGCTGGTGAAAAATTGACAAAAAATTGGCCGAAATGACCATTTTTGCAACAAAAACAATAGTCGTGGACCGAAATTGCAAGGTTTGAAAGTCGCGGATCAATCCTGACAGTCAGTGGCGGACCCAGAAAATTTTGTCAATGGGGGCAACATTAAAACAAAGACGTGAAAAAAATGAAACAAGTACACTTAAAGAAGTATAACCATAAATATTGTTGGATATAGCAAAAAATAAACATATCAAAACTTTATAAAAAGATTCATAACAAAATATGAAACATAATTAATTTGATAAAATAATTCAAATATAAAACACATTATAATTTACACACCCCACTATTAATATAAAAGAAAGTCATATATATACCAAAATTTAACTGTGTTTTTTTTGAAAGATTCAAACCCAGCCCATTTTAAGATACAAACGCACATCCTACCATCTCATCTAACACGAATTTTGTTTACATTATCTGTTTCCTTATTCTTATATACTATATATACCTATATATATATATTTATATAGGCTATATAGGGGGTGGGGGTGAGTGGGGGCAGGTGCCCCCACTGCCCCCACTGTAGGTCCGCCTATGCTGATAGTGCCACTATATCATGGGACCAAAAATACAAAAAACTCTTATGTTTTAATATAATGTACATATTTTCAAAAAAAAAAAATAATATAATGTACATTATGCTTTAGAATAATGTACACTATTTTTAAATAATGTACATTATAAGTTAAAAAAATATATGTGTTACAGCTAGACACGCGAAAAAATAAAATTAAACAAAATGATGTCGTTTTTAGACCATGATCTACGCAATAACTATTGTAACCATTGACGGTCTATTTGTACGCAACAACACCCTTAGAAGAGTTGCTTTTAACTACGGCACAATCAAAGTAGAACTAGTGTAATCTATCCGGACGTTAAGAGAGTTGATTTAAATAAGACCCAACCAAAGTTCAACTGGATTATTATATACCGCAGGATGCAGATACGAGTACAGATCACACAAACAAAAACTAAAAATAAAAAAGACAGAAAAGGAAAGAGACATTGGAGATGCATGTTGATGAACATTAGATTGAAATGAACAAATATGTTCCTATGCCATTTGATTGCTACAATAATATATTTACTTGGTAAAAGGGGAAAGGAAAAAACACACATTCATCTCCTCAATTGGATCACCAGTAGTATCTGCCTGGACAAGTTAGTCATAGCTAGCAACACATTTTGAGCTGGCTCTCAACATATCCAGACACCATGCACAAGCTCACTGCAACATTCGAGCCTGACCCGTCGTCGTTGGTATTGGCGCGCCATGGTTGAACTGATGATCCTTAACGGGTTCGATTTCGTTCGCGTTGGATGGTTCTGCTCCGTTTGTTGCTGTCGTTTGCTCCAAGAGGCGAACAAGCGACACGAATATCTCCATCCTTGTTACATCTCTGTTAGCCTGAATCAGGAAACGGGCAACTCCGTTAGTTCCTGAGTGGTAGATTGTGGGCAAGAACACAAGATCGACAGTCGCAATGTAAGAGTTACATCCAATATAGTGCATACTGGTCCTCCCACCTAATGGGTCGCTGAGTCACCATGATTTACCAGTCTACTATCCTGTCGCCCTAGGGGCAAGAGAATTTCGCCTTTTTGTGGGCAAGGAAATGTAAGCAAGAATCTAGAGGTTTTTCGTCTTACCAAGATCAAGAACCAAACAATACTCTTTTTCCATAATAATGCTTAATGGGGATAGTGTGTTACCTCAACAGCAAATCGTGCCCATATCTTCTGGTTCCTTGTTTCAATGACTCCTATCAAGATAGTTAATCCTAATCCTCGAATAACATCAGCGATTTCCAAGAATAAGCCTCGTTCTTCACAAAGCATCTGCATAAGTGCATTCAGACGACAATGAGAAATAAGTTTCTAATCACCTAAGACGACTAAAGAAGATGCAACAAACATCAACCTTTACGAGCATTTGACGAGGCTGGTTCAGATCCTCGATAATGATAGGGCAGACCATAGACTGAGAGCCAACCTCGTATGCCCATGTAGCCCCTCCATCAAAATTATCTTTCAAGCATAGCCCGCCATCTGTACTAATGATCTGCAGCAGCAGCTCGAGAAAATAAGACTGGTTATTCGAAACCTCAAACATATAGGCATTAGATTTCCAGGAAACACTAAAGGAGTAAGTGCCCACACCTTCAACTCTCCAATCTGTTTTAGTTTGTCTGCGTGTTTCGCGATGCTCTGCAAGAAAAGCATATGCTTGATAGCCCGTTCCAGAAGTGAATCAATGCTACACTGTTAAACGCATTGGAACATAACATTAGTGCCAAAAACAATATTGAATAGCAAAGAAAACACAACCCAAAAGCATATACCTACCTTTGCTCCATTAGGCACAATTTCTCGCAACTCCTTCAAACGATCTTGAATCATTTGGCGATCTTTTGGCCGAGGTCTAGGATTCTCTCCTGGTTTCAGCCTTTTCCGACTTGTTTTGCTCGTTTCATCATGCTTCTTAGATTGTGCTGTCGAAACACTAGTACTCATCTGTGATCCATAGATCGAGCTACTGTGCAAAAACGCTCCAGCAGTTTCCTTGGAAGACTCCGATCCAAACGAGCAAGAGCCCATAATAGCAGAGTCCGTAAGAGACCTGGGGAAACCAACTAATCCCCCGTGTATTTCAACAGGCATTGATACTTGACCATAGGAGCCCGAAGCAGTGGGGCCTGAGGAGCTACTCATATTCGTCACCGTGGTCCAGCAAGAAACATTATCGTCCACGCTTTTCTTGGCAGCCAAAGAATCGAAGAGATGATCAACTGACTTCCCTTGGTTGACGGTTGAAGAGGCGTCCTTACTAATCATAGATGTAGAAGGGTTCTTGCTCATATCCATTGTTATCGTGTCCTGCCCACTACTTTGGAAATCGTTCCAGTTACCATTTAGTAGTTTATTCTTAAAATCGGCTCCCAGAATATCGAAAAGGTCATCCCCCGAGTGATCTTGGAAAAACGTATTATCATATTCGTGTTTAACATCATAACTAAAATCGGGAATGCACTTGGGGGGTGAAGAACTCAGATTCTCGTTATGAATGCCAAGTGCTTGGAATAAATCATTTTCTTCCATTCCCCTAATCCCATCCAGCTCAAACCCCGCACTTGAAGGATGTGTTGCAAGCAGCAAATCGTTCACCGCACCCGAAGAAGACGAATCAAGAACTGGACTCGATTTCGGATGCATTTCTACTCCATTACATACTTGGTTTGCTCCAACAGATGGGGGAACCACAGAATTTTCGATACGGTCCGGAACCATCATCGATTCGAAAGGAGATTGCTGACGGGAAGGAGGTCCGGGGACATAAAAATAAGCGTGTTGATTCGACCAGTGATTGGGATTTGATGGAGGAAAGTTTGGACGAGCTTTTGATTGACAGTGATCATCATCATGGTACTCGACAAAGCTCGGGGAATAACGGGCGTCCCCAAAAGTAGCATCGCTAGAACATAGATCCCCCGTGTTTTGTCTGACAAACGAGGAACAAGTCTGATGGCCTACATGCATCTCAGACAGGACCAAATTAGTCTCGGAGTTTCTATATGCAATAGGCACCGAGTCCAATACTTTTGATCCCCCAACAAAATCTTCGCAAATCGAATTTCCTACATGGATTGGGACCCCGGGTTCTCTCATTGCATCTTCACCGGATAGCAAGACGCCAGGAATACATCCTAGTTCACAAATCGCCATCCTCACATTGTTCACAAAAACCATATTCTCCATTACCTGAGTCACGACATAATAAAGATTTGATGCATAAATAAAACCTAGAGATATGAACATATATAAACGAACTTACCACATTGTAGGAACCAAGTTGAACGACACCGTGAGGAAGAACAGGAATAACGGCAATTGTCTGTAAACAAGAAAAAAGAAACAATAATTATCCACAAAGTTAGAAGAATAAAATAAACATATACCAGAAGAACCTGAAATCTATACCTCAATGCCAGCCGAAAATTGTTGAGAAAGTTCTTTCAAAACCTAAAAGAGCCAGACAATATACAAAACTCGTGAGCACCAAATGAAACACACCCAACACTCGAATACACTCGTATATATATAATTATATATACCTCTAGTGGGTACGCCTCTCTGCTATTACCCTGTGATAAAATCCAGTGATGATGCCCGGTAACTGCAGCTCGTCCAGCAAGTCTGAGATGCAACGTTGAACACAAGATTGAGGTCAATCTTCCTCGTAACAACTATACAGAGGAGCAAAATCACAATTCTTTAAAAAAAAAATTTGGTCGTACCCTTCTCCCACTACTTTGAACTGATTTTCCATCATCATCTTATTTACAAGCGCTTGAACTCCCTCCCCTGCTTGCACAGGTCGAGAATTAAGAACTTCATCCGAAGCCCAGCAAGCACCCCAATTATTGAAAGCTAGTTTTGAACTCGAGACTTCGGGGGGTTCATAATAACATTCTTCCCAAATCAAAAGCCTAGAGAATCAGAAAAAGCAAAGCACATTTAAAACGCTTCTTGGAATGACATCAAGAAACCACCTAGTAAAACAAGATCTAGTACCAAAGAAACACAACAAGGATTTAATTGAGAGAAAAGTAAGAAAGATAGAACAAAAGACAAGAACTTTGTCTGAAACAAACAAGAATGACAAAACCAGAAACAGGATACCATCACAGTATAAAGGGCTTCATCAGATTAAAATAAAATTAGCTTTTCCTCTCTCTAGCAAAAATCAAACAGGACCAACCACAATATTCCAAAGGCCGAAAACGATAGCTATCAAATTACTTGAAAGAAAAAAAACAAGACAAGAATCTATAAGATGTCAAATCAAAATCAGCAATAATTTCCCAGGAACTTTCAATTAGTAGATCCATTATGCCATAAATTTATTTCAAATTTGGATTGAAATTAAATCTTCTGGTCAACAGGGAAAGAAGGATAGAAATAGCCACTAAAAAACATACAACCATCACTTTTTTCCTGTTTTTCCCTTTCATTTGCCCTACATTTCCACAACACCAACATTAGTCAGCACAAAATCCCAAAAACATTACTACATGCAAAAGGAAAAAAAAACACAAAAAACAAAAAACAAAAACATGTACAGGAAAACCAAAAACGGAAAGGAATCAATTCATTCATACTATTCAAGCAAAATAGGCTCTTGGACTAATTGAAAAGAGGCCCAAAACGCAGGAAAAGATAGAGATAAAAGATGGAAAAGCTCACTTGGGATTTTGGCAACCGATCTTCCAGAAAACAGCATAAGACCAACGGTTGACTCCACAGAGAGTCTTCAAAGCTTGCTTCAGCAAATAGCCCATAGCTATAATATGTATAAAGAATAAAACTTTCTTTCCTTGTTTGTTGCAGAGAGATTATAGGGAAGGGGGGGAAGAAGAAATTGAAGAGTTATCAGCTACGAAGAGGAATTATCAATCATTGCTGTCTTTGTTCCTAACTTCCTCTACAAGACCCACGACCCGCCTGCTTGGTTCTCAACCCGCCACTCCTCTTTCTCACCGGATCCAACCTCCCAGCTATCTTGCTCTTGCAAGCCATTCCAGAGAGAGAGAGGGAGAGACGAGAGAGAAAAGCTCCCAAAGGAGAGATTTTTATTGTTTATTTTTAGCTCCGGAGGGTGTAACTGAGGGGAGAAAGAAGAGAAAGCAATCCAAGAACAGCACAAGCCGGGCGGTCGCAGTTGAGAACAAAAACAAATTCGTCCATTTGAAGAAGAGAAAAGAATGAAGAAGTAGTATTTGTTGCATATATGGGGTCAGTATGAGTGGAAGAGTGGTAACATCAGAGCTTTTTCCAGGGAGACAAAGAATCTCTGGGTGTATCTGAATTCTAATGTAATGTCACTATGCAATTCTTTGGGTTGGAGGCTTTCAGTGTTTACTGCTGACCCCTGTGCTCTCTGATTCGAGAGAGAGAGAGAGAGAGAGAGAGAGAGAGAGATTGATTCCCTTTTTCTTTGCTCCCCTTTCTCCTGTATTTAGAAGAAGAGATGGTGGGAGGGAGGGAGGGAGTGTGCTAAAATGCGCCCTGTCATAGCTCATAAAATGACGAGAGTGTTGGCATCGAATTTCTTTGAATTGCGGTTTTGCCACTTCTGTTGTTTGTCGCCTTTTTCTCACTTCTTTCATTTTTTTTCCCGTTGAGAATTTCTTCCATCATTTCTTTTCCATGTTTTTTGCCTTTTTGCTCTTTTTTTCCTCTAAATATAAAATAAACAATTTATTATTTTTATATTGAGCAAATACCAATTTTAATTCGAGTATTAGTAAAATGATAATTTTAATCTACATGTTTAATTACTAACAATTTGTATTCATGATTATTGTTTTCGTGTTAAAATTTATCACGTCGATCACCCCTCCGACTAAAACAGGTCAGATTGTGTAATTCGAAGGGTATTTTCGTCCATTCACGTATAATATGCAAATTTCATTAATTTATGAACTCTCATTCAAAATATGCCAAGACCTTTGTACTACATTATTATATATGAATGGACAAAAATATCCTTATAAATACACATTTCTACATGTTTTAGCTAGAGAAGTGACCGCCATGAATCCCGTGATCAATCTTAGAAAGAAAACAATGGTTATTAATTGTAATTAAACATATTGATCAAAACTGTCATTTTGTTAATACTCGTGAGATCAAAATTACTATTTGCTCTAGATACAAAGGAATGAGAAAAGAAAAGAAAAACAAAAAAACATTCCCCATAATAATATTAATAATAAATTACATCGAATATGGCAGCTTCAAAGTTATATTACTCCTCCAATAAAGAATCCATATAATTGAAATGTGAGGGCAAAACATTTTTGCACAATTGCTGCTGCCTGACGAAAGAAGGAAAACACTGATTTGTCCGTCTCCCATGTCTAGAGGTTAAAATATATGTTCACATTTTTGTGAGACTGTCTTACAGATTTTTATTTGTGAAATAAATTGAATCAGGTCGAATAAATATAAAAATGTAATCTTTATATTGAAAAATATAATACTAATTAGAAATACAAAAATGTAATCATTACTTTTACATTTTGATATAAAAATATTATATTTTCATCAAAAGTATTACAGTTTCTCATATAAGTAATGTTGGCAAGTGTTTGTTACTTATAAGAAAAAATACAATATTTTTAATGACAAATGTAATACTTGTAAATCAAAATGTAAAAGTAATATATTTTTCTTCAAAAGTATTATATTTTTCATATAAGTAATAAACATTTTATTTCTTATTAGTATTATATTTTTCAGTATAAATATTAAATTTTATATTGACTCAACCCGTCTCACGAACAAGAAGCCGTGAGATGGTCTCACACAATTTTTTGTCAACATCTTTTTAATTGAGCTTATTGTATATTGTTTTTATAATGCAATGCGGCTTATATTTTTGTACTCTATAACAAGACAGCTCTTATTCTGTGTCAATTTATCTATTATGTTATTTAGGAAAAATGATAGAGATATTCTCATAATTGAAAATGCTTAGGGCAACCTCAATATGAGTAGTTTTTTCTGGTTTTTGATGTGCCAATTAGGAATTTAGGAGAGAGGTGAGGGAGAGAAGAATGAAAAAGATGAAAAAAAAAAAAAAAAAAAAAAACAAGTCTGACACAAAAAGAAAAACAAAACAAAACAAAGCATTTAACGCGCCAGCTGGCGCGTGCAGTGCGGGGCGTTGTATGTGTGCAAAGCGCGCAGCACTGTGCCTTTCTTCTCCACTTTCTCTTTCCTGCAGGAGAGTTGGTCCTTCAACAGCCAAAATCACCGGCCACTTCGACACACAATTGTGATACTAAATTTACACTGCAATTGCAATCGAGGTCCCCAATTAACAAAATAAACAAAATGCAGACCCTAGATATTGGTTTAGTGGATAAAAAACCTCACTACTTAAGATTTGCTTCTAACAGTATGGTGGGGATTTGATTCCTATCACAATCATTTAGGGGTTGAGTTTTGGATGAGCTTCTTGGCCACTAAAGTATACAGATTGGTGTTGAGTTTTGAAACTATATTAGCTCAATTTACCTCTATATGAATCTAGATTTGGGTTCATAAAGTTCAGAATATAGTTCGATGAAGATGAAAAAGAAAACAAAAACAAAAAACAAAAAACAAAACAAAATGAAATTCAAGTGCCAACTAATATGTAATGTGATGACACTTCTATTAACATTCTAAATAGGTAATCAAAAAAGTCTAGAACAGATATTACCATGTACTCCTTAAAAATTATAAGCACTTTAAAAAAAAAAAAAAATAGAACTCTTCAAAAAAAAAATGGAACTCAAGTGGGATACACTATCCTACGTGTCCGACAGAAATTGCAGAATAGCCCAATGTAGAGGTCCTGATTTGTGAAGGGTAGAGGTGGATTAATTGTAAAGCAACCCCCTTTTGTGTAGTGTTAGGGACCCCAACATTTGTACTTTCTCTCTTTTTCCACCCTGCCCTTTTGCAACCTATCCCAGTAGTTGTCCCCCTGGTGGGGTTGCTGTCTCTGATTACGTCTTTTCTAAATGCCCTCCAAATTTCACTTAATTACACAAACCCTCACCTATCTTTTTATTTCACAAAAACAGTCAAATGCGTTTCCCTAATGTGTTTCGCAAAGGATCAATAATGCTTACTTTAACCATTGAAAAACAAAAATCATCATTTCATGTAAATATATAAACAATTTTTTTTCTTTTATTTAAATATATACTAATAGGTTTCCTTTTGTCAATACTAAAAATAAATATATTTAAGTGCATTATTATCATTCTATTGTAATGAAATCTTAATTGTATGAAATTTAATTTGTTAAGATTGGAATCTAATATCTTAATCATTAAACTAGATAATTAAAATTAACTTTATGAAAAAGCCTGTTGCCGATAAATTAGCCTACCTTCTACGTGAAATCAATCTTGAAATCTTGTAGTTGACAAGTTAACTGTTGGATTAACAAAACACCCTTAATTACAATGTGACTAAAACACAATTTTCAAATATTATGTAATGGGTAAATTATTCTGTGGACCCGTGTCCAAAATACATAATTTATATACTGAATGTTCATAAGTTTGTAAAAGGTAAATTGTAAACATTAAATATGTAAATTGTGTATTTTAGACCTGAGTCCATTGTATAACAACGGTATATAATGAGAGAAGGCTCAAATGTTAAATAATCTCTCTTTAGTCCATTAAGTTAAGAGGTTATTAGTGTGTTGCTAAGTGCCCTATCTCACCTAGTCTCTTGAATTTCCCTCACCATATATACAAATAATTCTTCCTCATACTTAACACAACAAAATTTTTCTTATTCTTTTCATTCATTGACGACCGATCAATTATACATATATTACATTACTACAAATTATTACTATACTTTAATCTTATTTTTCTTCATTAAATGTCAACTAATGGATTATGGATAAAATATCATATTATAAATGAAAAGCACATTGTTAAACATTGTTTGGCATTAAAAACATAAGTGTATATATACTATGGTTAACTAATAGGAAACGCCATGTGGTTTAGATTTGCATCTTCATGCTTAGTTTATAGAAGTCAACTAAAATTTCCATACCTTTCTTGAGTTAACTTTTTATTTGTTTGAACACTATAAGGTTATGTTGTGTATAGAGATAGTCCAAATGGTAATAGAGTTTGCATTACAAGCACGCTATCTAAACTTAATTAGTTATGTTACTATCTAAATCTAATTCATATCCTATTAAATAAAATGAAAACTAAAGTAAACCTAAAGTATAAATACTAATTAAAAAGCTACCTCTTAGTATAATTTATAACAATTATACACTAGTTATAATACAAATAATATAAATTTCACACACACACACACACACACCATGTTTCAAGTTCAACTCTCGGTGAGAGCGGTATATTGGCCTTCTCGGTTTGAACTTATCAATTATGAGCAACCTAAGTTTACCTTCGTGTGGTCCTTTGCCGACTAAGATCACAATGCAGACTTCACCCATAACGTACTTTCAAATAGAGGCTATAGGTTTTCCCTTAAATCAAAGGTATGGGTATAGTTTATGAAGGTTTGAATTAGAATGTATATTGAAAGAGAACAATACACCAGAATATATAGAGCTATACACCAGGATTCTAAGGGAAGTTATAACAGACTACATGCTCAGACTAACAAATAGAGAAAGAGTAGGACAACAGTAGATAAATAATGGCAAATTATGATGTGCATCCATATGCACCCTGCATGGTGCATATGGATGCAAAAACGACGTCGTTTTGCATAAAACACGCGCCCTACTTAAAAAAAAAAAAAATCAGTTTCGATTCCCAGCAACAACATTATGTTATTCATTTTTTAGTTCATTCATTTTGGATTTTTTAGTTATGAAATTCTAGAAGTGTAGTTATGCAATTCTGGAAGTGTAGTTATGCAATTCTGGATGTGTAGTTATGAAGTTATGGATGTGTAGTTATGCAATTCTGGAATTATAGTTATGCAATTCTGGAAGTGTAGTTATGCAATTCTAGAAGTGTAGTCATACAATTCTGAAAGTATACTTATGAAATTATGGATGTGTAGTTATGCAATTCTGATTTTTTTTTTTTTTTTAAAGTTAGACGCCAAAACGACGCCGTTTTGCATCCGTATGCACCATGCATAATGGTGCATACGGATACACAGCATAACGCTCCATAAATAAAACAATTATAACTAGTCTTTAATATAGTTCAAGAACCCGAATATGACTTGGGTAATCTTTTGAATACCCAATCCCATTTTATTTGGATTTGAGCATGGTAGGTACCGATTTTACATACCCATTGTCATCCCTAGTTTCATATATTAAAAAATAATAATAATAAACTAGAAAACAATGATGATTCACACATAATTACCATTAATCAGTGATTATTTAAAGTGTTGATTTGGTAGGTTAGGAAATGTATAGACTTAAAATAATGATGGACTGACTAGCAGAAGCATGCGTATGCAGTGATAACAATATACTATGTCTTAGGTAGGGGAGTTGTACTTTTATA